CTATGGTTTTCATCCAGTGTGCTAACCGTGATGGCTTCCCACTAAAGAGGCAGGCTCTTGTGGGCAGAGCAGTTAACGAAAGTACAGGGCTCTGTCATAGGTCTTCTCAAGTCACACAGAAGGAGACCACAGAGGTGCTCATGGGAGAGCCGAGGAGAAATGCTGAATGTCAACCCCGGCTCAGCCAAGGAGGAGCTGACCTTTGAGAAGGATCCGAGGGTGCCAGTGATTATGCCTGGCTTAGCACTTCCTTGGTCTCATGGCCAGAGAGTCCTGGCTACTGTCCCCATGCACTGTGGCAGCCAAACATGTTTAATGAACCCAGCAGAGTGATAAACTATGCTTGTGTTAATACCTTTGATCCCAACCCCCTCCTCAAGTGTTGGTATTTTAAGCATCCTTTTGATGTGTCACAAGTCCTTAATAAGAACAATCAAATAAACACACTGGGTTTAAGGCAGAAGTCCTAGGAATCTGATTCCTTCTGCTTGGTGGACTGCCCCTCCAGAAATATGTCATATGCAACCTGATAAATAGGGGTGTGTGTGTGTGTGTGTGTGTGTGAAGGGGGTACAGGTAGCTCGGAGAAATGTTCTGGAGGCTCAACTTCAGCCTTGACTGGATCTAGCTAGAGTCTGGCTCCAGCTAATACCTAGTTATATCACCTCAAACATTTTCCAAAACAGCCCTGGTTTCCTGGGGCAGATGGATGCAGCAGTTCCTTTGTTTATCTGGGGCGAGCACTGACTTGTGGAGAGGGCCATATTGTTCCTACACTGGCAAGCTCCTCTGGGGCTTTGACACAATTCCCTCAGGGCTTCCCAAGTCTCCTAGGAGTAGGGGCTGGGCCAGCAGGGGCTCTCAGGAATGCCTATTGTGTCAGATAAGGGGTGGGTAGGTGGCCCTGACCCTGGTGGAACTAGGAAAAAAACACATTTACTCTCATGTCACTTGAGGGCCCTGGGTCTTCAGAGTCAGCCTGGCAGGCTGCAGGACTAGGCGGGGAGATGGCTGACAGCTCAGTTATTGGAAAGCTCCCATCCTTGGCCTTGGAACTTTGTTTGGTTTCTATGGTGACCTTCACTACAAGGGCCTGAGTAAAGCTGAAGGAATGTGTTACCTAAAACCATCTCCCTACAGTGCTCATGGTGGTCCATCCCTCCCCACACAATATCCCTGTTCCTCCTGGACACTTCCCAGCTGCCTCTTCCATGGGAAGGACAAGTAAAGACAACTCTGTGCCTGCTAAAATTCTCACATTCCCCACAGGTTGGGGCCTCCTGGCCGCCTGGTACATGTGTCCAGGGAAGCCCATAGGAGTTCAGGAAGCTGCTGGGGTATCTGGTTCCCACCAGGTTCACACTGTCCCAGTGGAGGAATCAGGCTCTGCCTCATCACGTTTCTGCCTTTTTAAACCTTAGCCGTGCTAACCAAAGGTCATCCTCCAGCATGGGCATCAAGATCCCCTCCACTCGGCTTCATAATCCCCGAGTAAGAAGGGTTTTCAGAATCTGGACTCCCCAGAGGCTGGGTTCTGCCTTGCATGCCACAATGGGGCCTGTGTGGGAACAGTGACTGCTCCTCTGTGTCACTCACAGCCAAGTCCCATCAGGATCCCCCTCCTTCAGCTCCTAGCTCACTGTACACTGTCAGGGCCAGGTGTCAACAGGACTTTGTGGCTTTCCTCCACAATGGGACTTTGGACACAGCGGTCCACCAAGCCATGACCTCCAGTCCGTGTCTCACAACACACTTGAGAAGCAGAAGAGGCAGGGCAGAGTTTTAAATTTATTTTAGTTAAAGAGGAACACATTGCTGCGTGTGGCAGATAAGTAATAGAAGTGACTCAAGGCAGTGACTTGATTGGCTCTCACTCTAGGGTAAACTCATAAGATGGGGGTTCGCTTAGGGGTCAGCTTCCTCCTTTGTCTAGGCCTCTCCTAAGCAGTAGCAGGCAAAGCAGCTACCCCTACACTGACCTGATGGCATCTGTCCTTCATGGGGGACAGTTCTTGGGTCCACTGAACTGATTACTTTGCAGAAAGGAAAGCCTTTAGAAGGCTAGGCCACCAGGATAGCTGCTGCAAGGTACTTGGTGGGAGACAGCCCATATCACAGGCCTGAGAACACACTTTGTTAGGCATGATGTGGTCAGGCCAAGGCGGGTTGCTTTGTGTTGTTTTGCTGAGCAATGTTTACTGGACTGGTGGTTTAATTAACTGCTAGCAACAGCTGGAGTCCCGCATGGCCTGCTCCTAGCACAGGGGCAGCCGGAGAAGCAGGACACACAGTCAATCGAAAGCAATGACATTTTTCAGTGATCCTTGACCCATAATGGACTCAATGACATTTACTGCTAATCCATGGGCTTCTGTACTGCAGGGTTTCATCTGTGGGGAACAGTTTTAATTTATTTGCAAAGGGACCTGGTCACTGGATGGACTTGGCATGCAAGTGTGTGTGTGTGATTTTTTTTTCTATAAGAAAGATTTATTTTCTCACACTTTGGTGTCCTGAATCCCATGAGTTCCTATCTGGTTAGTTTTGTAGCCTTTTAGGGCCAGTTCAGATCAAAGTAGAGCTTGAGTCTGGAAGCTGATAAAGAATGAGTTCTCCACATCATCTGACCCCCACTAATCGAGCAAAACAAGTGGGGGAGTTCCCCTTGGGGCAGATTATATTCATTCCCTCGAGCTCTGCAGAACTACACTCTGTTGTAACAGGGAACAATACTGTGCGGGGTCTCACACCTCCTGCTGCCTCTCCGTGCAGTCTCTGTCAGTGAGCAGTTCTCATGGCATAGGCTGCCCCCTTAAGGCTCTTCCTGTGGAAGCAGAGATACTATTTTTCAAGCAGCTTCATAAGAACATGAGGGCAGGGAGTGAAAAAAGAAAGCACCAGGGAGTGGGGACAGTCAGCCTACACAAGGGCAAATACTCACTTACGTCATCAACACTTGGCTCTGGGGTCCTGGCCCCTTTAAGAACCTGCTGAAAGCTATCTCCTTGAAAATAGGAAAGTTCTCATTCATGTACACCCTTGGGGCTCCTCTTGAAAGGGTGGGGTTGGAGTGGTAGGCATCAAGCTCTACGACCAAACCTCTCCATCTGCCTGTGAGGATACTCGGGGAGAACAGGGCACATCCTGGGGAGTGCAGCTGTGCAGAGCAGTGGGGCTCACTCACACCACAGGGAGTGGGGGGCTGCCCAATCCATTCCCTGAGCAGGTCCATGAGAGGGGAGCCAGTGGGAGGAAGCATCTTCCCAGGGTGGTCCCAGAAGCAAAGAAGTAGATCCTAGTGCACCTCACACAGCTTGAGGTTCAAGCAGACTTCCAGCAAGGGAAACAGCCTCCCAGGACAGGCTAGGGAGAGTGCACTGGGCCAGTAGAACATCCAGTGCTGAAGCCATGAGAAGATGCTGAGAGCAAAGTGGGAGAGCCAGGATGGGAGGCAAGGCTCTTCTACCTTCACATCTGGGTTTTCATGAAGATCTGTTTGGAAAGGACTTGAGGCCAAAGAACACTTAATGCTGCTGGGCCAAGCACTTTTAACCACACTTAATGCTGTGGGGCCAAGCACCTTGGCTGTTCAGTGCTTCTGTTCAGGCCTGACAGTGGGTAGAACATTTCTTCCTTTTCCACCCAAGAGTTCTAAGCTTTTTTCCTTGAATGTTTCTTTTCCCACTTAGTCCAACCAGCAGAGTAAACACACACACAAGCACACAAATATGTGCAGGCATGAGGAGATACTAGCACACAGACCTTGCAGCAACGAGTTAGGAATTGCCAGGCAGGTGAGGATAGTCTAGAAAAAGCAAGGTACCACTGGGGAGAGCAGAGGCCTCTTCTCACCTGGATTTTTACTGAATATAAAAACACAGGGTTGGGAAGATAATTGAGTGGGTAAAGGCATTCACTACCAAGCCTGAAGACCCGAGTGGTATCTCCAGGACTTACCTGATGAAGAGAACTGACGGCCTCGAGGACACTCTGACATCCACACATGTGCCATTGCACATGTGTAAATTAAAAATAAATAAAATAAAACTACCACCTGGTATTGCTGTATTACACCTGGGTTTTCCGTTGCCCACATCTGGTTGATCTGCATTTTAGAATCCCTGAAGTGTCTTAGGATCATTTCTCTAAGGCTGGATGAAACAAGGCTCAGAACCCACGCTATCCCTCAATACTAGGATGGACTATCAAAGTAGACACATGCTCTACGCTTTTGAACAGCTAGGATCCACTGGGGCAGGAGAGTGGGGTAAGTGGAGGGTCAGGAATCGGGCTAGGGGTAGGTTAGATTACAGACAGTAGACAGTCTGGAGACACAGGGAAGAGGCTCAGGGGTCATCAGTCATGACATCCCCCATGGTCTCTTCACAGAGCCATGCTGTGGCTTCTGTCCTGGTTTGATAACAGGTCACTTTATAGTGGGTAGGGGAAAGAGACCCAATCCTACCCTACCTGCTGCTCCCTGACCTAGTGCAAGGTGAACTCTGCTCCAAGAAGCCGGGCATGTGGTTGGTGTAGTAAGTATGAAGGGTCAGGGCCATCCTGAAGGAAGATAACTATTCCCTCAGCTTCCAGAAAAGGATGCAGTTCGGATGGTTCCTCTGCCCTCCACCAGCCCAGCTAGCTTTAGGATTTCATCCTTGGCTGGTTGTGTCAGGGTCATGATTAAGTCACACACCTTACCAAGTGGTACCCCCAGGACTAGAGGGCTGGGTGGAAGAGCTAACCTGTATACACACAATCCACAGCCTCTGTGTGGGGGTCTAGGAGCTCCAGCTCACGAGTCCCCACCGAGCACCTTCTGCAGAACGCCACAGCCCCTTGTCCTTCCTATGCCTCCTTGTCGCTCTGCCCACAAAGTTTCTATGCAATGGACACTATACTCTGTGTACTGGCTGGCAATGTGACAAGCTGAGGCGTACAAAGCAGCCATACAGTGACCAAGCCAGCCCTCCACGAAGCACCGACCCAAGGAGACTCACTTGAAATTTTCAGGATGCTCGGTAATGGCCATATTGATGACATCCAGGGCGTGCTGGTGATGCTTCTGGGCAGAGAAGAGCAGTGCTAGCAGGTGGAGAGCATTGGCATCATCCCTGCACATCGTCAGGGCCTCCTGAAGATGCTCCATGGCGCTGGAGATCTGCAAGGAGAGATGCCAGTTTAGGGACCTTAAGACCAGAATGGAATGGCTCGGCCCTACTCAGGTAAGCCAGGGACACCAGAAGCAAGCATCTTGAATGGAAGGAATAGGGAGCCTTAGGTATAGGCTGCCCGCCACAAGGGGAGGCCCTTCCCAGAGCTTGGCTAACAGGGTCAACAGAGTCCCACTCAGGGGTGCTCCAGTGTGACCAAAGGCAGTGTGTGAGCTAGACAGTAGTCTTGGTTTTTGTACTTAATAGTTAAGTGTTGTTCTACAGTAAGATTAGATAGGGAAAATGGAGCCAGAGCCCACAGGGCCAAGAAAGCCATGGAAAGGGGGTGGAGAAGCTACCACAGGTGAGGCAGAGCCTTTCTCTCAGGTGGGGCAGATCTGCTGCCACACAAGTGTTTTTGCCTCCCTTCCTGCTGAGGGAAGGACAACAGGCTCCTACTGCTTTGTGTCTGACAGACAAGCAAGGAAGATGACACAACCCTGGCTCTGCCAAACCTTTGCTCCAAGCTGGAACTGGGAAAAATCTGATGGTCTCTTCTGTTGAGGAAGCTCTACTGAGCACAGCACGGCTCAGGATGGACCATAAGATCTCAGTGAATGCTGCTTTCCTCCATCCAACTGTACCAAGTACCTTCCCCCTTCCCCTCGCTGGACCACAGAGGTCAGTCAGTAAGTTCAGTGAACTTTTCTCACGTAGGCTGGCTTGAGAACCCTTTGCATGGTCTGGGAAGTTTCCACAAATATTAAGGAGTGAAAGAAATTCTGATAGTCACCAATAGAAATATGCTCCTACCAAGGAGGCTGGGTTGTCCTGGTGTGTGCCCACCCTTCACTACCTCCTCCTTCCCCAGCAAACAAGGTGATCTCTTGCTCCCAGCACACCTGGGGCTACCTGCCACCTGCCTATTCGAATCAAAACAGCTTGCTCTTTGGGGAAGGATAGGCTGTTGGAGAAAGCAACACCTTATTTGTGAATTTGAAAGATCTGGGTCTCTTATCCCTGGGAGTTCCTGCCTCTTGTAATTCCATTTCCTGCAGGCTAGGTATATACCTTACTGAGATGAATCAAACTGGTAAGGTACACACAGCATGCTTGTGTATCTTTTAACCCCTTGTCTGTTCAAGCATAAGCCCACACAGCCTGCTAATGAGGGGCTCAGTGTAGGGCAGTGGTTCTCAACCTTCCTAATGTTGTGACCCTTTAATACAGTCCCCAACCATAAAATTATTCCGTTGCTACTTCATAACTGCATTTTTGCTGTAATGTATTTTTGCAGCAATAAATCGTAATACCTTATATGCAGGATATCTGGTATGCAACCCCTGTGTTGGTTGCAACCCACAGGCTAAGAATCTCTGATGTAGGCTATCTCTCTTAAACTGCAGGTTCAGAGTGTTATGGTGGGATCTAGCCTATCATCTCCCTCCTCAGAGTGGTGTTCTAACTCAGCTCAGTTCCCCAGAATGCATGTGGCTTCCTCTTCCTGCTGCCTCAGTAAACAGTGCCCTTATTGCAAGGCCTTACTTCTGTCGGAATGCCCATCCATTCCCCTGGCTTCCCCTCAGCCACCTACCTACCCCTGGCGGTTGTGGAGGCTGTGGATACATAACCAGAAGAGAGGACTGAGAGACATCGCACCAGGTAGGAAGGAGGAGGGTTAGGATGGCCTGTTTAGGCATCGTGCTGGCTACAAGCCCAGCACAGATCAGGCTCCTCCATCACTCTGTTCATGCTCATCACAGCAGGGAAAACAACCTTACAGGACACCAATGGAGAAATATCCTTCCCACTCAGCCTCACAGGACCAAAAGTTTTGGCTCCTGAGTAGGGTGGAGCATATGCACCCAGCTCCTCCACTGCTTTGCTGGTACCTAGGGTGAGGCAGGAACACTCCTCTGGTCTGCATTTCCTCTGCAGTAGGATGTGGTCAGACAGGCAACCTGTGGTTGCTCAGAGGCTGAGGTATGATACACACCCTACAGAGTACCAGCTCAGTGGGTTTTTCAAAGACTGTGTTTCCCCCTTAAGCCTCTTAAGATCCCACAACAAAGAAACTGTCGTATTCTTCCTGCTACCCCAAGGGCGAATGCCCACTGGCAGCTGGCAGCTGTATTAGTTCTGCATTAGGCTCTGTCCATATCACGGCTCGAGATTTTTTTTTGTTTTGTTTTGTTTTGTTTTAATGCAGTTCTGGAGACCGAACCCAGGGCCTTTCATATACTAAGCTTGTGTTCTACCACTGACCTATACAGAGTCTTCTAAGAGTCTTGCTCACACCAGCTTCATGTGTTCCCTGTGGTGCTTTGGATTCCCACTGGGCCAGCCTCATCAATGGTCTCCTTATGGTCTCTGAGGAGGCCACAAGCACCAAGTGCCAGGTCTGGAATTGTGCATAGGGCAAGAAAAACATGAAGAAGCAGCTACCATCTTAGTTTATGTGACTCTCCAAGTCTGGTCCTTCACAGTGATTCACCAGACCAGACCCCAATATCCTAGGTATCCAAATCCCCAGATGTTAGAGATCAGGGCAGCCAGCCATGCTCTAGGCAGAAAGAGCCAGAAGGTAGGGTCACAGAGACCCAAATGGGTGATGATTCTAGCTTAAGAATCCACTCAAGGCCCTCAGCCTTCTGAGATTTTCTAGATCTGAGAACTGAGGAAGTAAGGCCCTCCTAAGCCTAGGAACTGGTGGAGCCAGGGGCCTTTGCTCCAAAGTCCATGCTGCCCCAGCTAAGAAGCTTTTGGAGATAGGGCCCTTGATCCCTGCCCGAGGCTGGGCGTATTATCATTCTTAACCTTTGAGCAGCTCCCGCTGTTCCCCGAGGAAACTGAGCACCAGTTTCCACTGGCCTGACCAGCACTGTTTTTGGAAGATGTGCACTACTCATCAAAGACAGGTGAATAATTGAAGAGATTAAAAAACACTCCACCAAAGGTTTATCCTTAACGAAATTGGCAAGACAAGCACCAGGTTCCTTTACAGATGGCTAAAAATAGAGCAGTCTCAGGTACCTTTCCATCTGTTTCCAGAAGCTGAGTGATGCCTCCAGAGGAGAGACATACAGCAAGCAGCAAGCTTAAGCCAGGGCCTGGGAGTCAGGATGGTTGATATACGGCATAGGTTTCCAAGTGATGAATGAATCACAGGGGAGGAAAAGGTAGTGTGAGAGGAGGGGGGGGCGGAGGAGCAGAGGAGGAATGGGCAGAGACACTGGGGAGAGAGGAGCTGAGAGAGAAGGCTGAGAGAGACAAGTCAGGCTGGACAGGCACGAGGAGTCCAGGCTAAGGCAGGAAGGAAGGGCTTTCAGTAGTGAGGTCTAACAGGCATTGAGAAGTCAAGAAAAAGGGGGTTCTAGGTGAAGGAGAAGGCAGAAGGCAGAGCCTTCCTGCCCTTGGGCCAGAAGAGCTCCTCAAAGGTTAAGAATGATAATGAGCCCAGCCTCAGGGCAGGGATCAAGGGCCCTATCTCCAAAAGCTTCTTAGCTGGGGCAGCGTGGACTTTGGAGCAAAGACCCCTGGCTCCACCAGTTCCTAGGCTTAGGAGGGCCTTACTTCCTCAGGCATAAAATGAGGTCATGTCCTTGTGTGAGACGTTTAAGAAAAAAAACGAAGCAGCACCCACTACCAGGGCTACCCTTGCTTGTCTATATATGAATGTAGATTTCTTTTTCTCTTTTATTTCTTGAGACAGTGTCTTAAAGTGTATCCCAGACTAGCCTGGAACTCCATCAGTAGCCCACGTTGGCTTCAATCTTAAGAATTCTGTCTTAGCCTTTCAAGTGTCAGGTTTGCAGGTTGCACCACCACACCCGGCTGTAGACAAGGTCTATGAGGCTTTGTCCAGGCAGCTTGGAGTTCAGCATGTTTCCCAGTAGCAGGAAATGGGATCTGTACTGAGGTCTCAGGTCACCTACAGTAGTCCCCAAACAGTCAGGATGTATGAGAGTCAGCATGCCCTGGTCAAGGTCACCAGAGATGCCTAGAGTACTAGCCTGAGGCCTGCAGGGTACACGAAGCCAGAGACTCCGAAAGGCATGATTTAAGGGGGTGCTGTGATGGTTGGGGTCCCCTAACACTGACCTCATGGATGTCTATGGGGAAAGGGGCGTCTACCTGGAGAGCTATGGTGGTTGTGCTGGTGATGGTCTTGGGGGGGACAAAGGTGTTAGTGGATAGACGGACCCTACAGAACCCCTGAGGTCAGGGCCTGCAGTGGTGTCTCCACGGTCAGGAGAGAGCTTTGGGTAACACAGTAGCCAATCTAGAAATAGCCCCATGTGTCATGTGTCAATCACTCTTTCCCTGCGTTGAGGGTAAGGTATAGGACACAAGCAAATGATGTCGTGGTCTCTTACCAGTTTCTGAGATTGCAATATTCTAAGAAAAGTCAGGGTGGATGTAACCACACTGACAGAATCTGCAGTAGACCCCTCAAACAACGACAAGGACAACAAGGGACAGAGAGAGGAGGTCAGATGTCCCATGGATCTAAGGGTTAGGAACTAAGACAACACACCTGTCGGACGAGGGCCAGCTGCAGGGAGACATAGAAGATAATCTGGGGGTCATCAGGTGCCAGTTCCTGGGCTCTGCAGAGGAGAGGGAGTCAAAAGTCAGTTACTATGAATTGAGCAGTGCTGGGGGCTGGGGGCAATACGTGGGAGATTCTGCCAGCCACTCTCAGATGGCAGCCGATGGTTCCACAGGTGACAGATGTCAAGGGAAGGGAAGGACAGGGATGGGGAAGTAGTCTGTGAATGTTGCCTGGCTGTTTCCCTATGTGTGCCTTCAGCCCGACCTTGGCTCTCCTGCTAAAGGACAGCACACTGGCTGAGGAGGATGCAGTCTTCCTGTCTGAGCAAGAAGCCTCAGGGGTGCAACATTGGGAGAGGAGGGGAAGCCTCAGGTGTTATTTAGAACTGGAATATCTTGATTTTGTGACTGGGAAACAACTTGACCCAGAGGGAGGCTGCTGGGTCATATGCTTCAATCAAAGTGGTACAAGGAGTCCTAGCAAGGCCTTCCCCAGTAACGTCCTTGTCACTGGAGGGAGGAGGAAGGCTCAGGTGAGCTGCGTATGAGCAAGGTGATACCTGGAGGAAAGACCTTGCTTTCTTCACCCCTGAATCCAGGAAATCTCTGTGAGGTCCAGGGTGTGAGTGGGAGGTTCCTGCAGCTCTGATAAGGTCAGGCCGGGGCTAGAAGGACTCTGGTTCTCAACCTTCCTAATGCTGTAACCCTTTAACACAATCCCTCAAGTCATGGTGACTGCCAACCATAAAATTACTTCATTGCTACTAAATGTAATTTTGCTACTGTAATAAATCATAATGCAAATATCTAATATGCAGGATATCTGATATGCAACCCCAAAGGCAACCCACATGCTGAGAACCACTGCCATATAGGCTGCTTTTCCTGCCTTCCATTATGCATCACAACACCAGTGGAAGCCCAAGAGCCCCAGGAACAAGGGTTGGGCCTGGATGATGTAGCAACCCAGCTTTCAGCTGACCACAGGGCTCTCCAGTGCCCAGGGCTAAGGGCAAAGTCACCTGACCACAACAACATACTCCTGCCTACTGGGTGACCTCCTGGCAATTTGGTTTCCTTATCCACAAAAGGGAGACAGAAATATCCATTTCAGAGAGTAAAACTTCATTGTGGGACCCTCCATTTTATCCTTCTGCACGTAAAGAAGCAAAGGGTTAGGTCTCCTCACCGCTCCAGGGTCTGCAGGGCCTTGCGGTGAAGCTCATCTTGCTTGGACTTCAGGGTGGCTGCAGGAGACATGATAGATTGAGGGGTCACTACAGAAGTACGACTCTTTCCCTGGCCCATCCCCAGGGCACAAGAACTTGGCAAGGAAGGAGACTACCAGGGCCCCATGTGCAACCTCAGGGTACAGTAACAGAAAACTGCTGTGACAGAATCAGACTATAGCTAAGGGACTGGTGACCACCTCACTAGCCAGAATGACAGGGCCTGAAGATCCCATGACTTAATGTGCGAGGGGCAGAAAACAGCCAGCACCAGACTGTCCTATATGGCTTCAAGGGTACCTTGAGGCTACACACAAGAGCAGGCACTATGAGATGCAGGTGAAGTCTGAGTGGGGTTCATCCCTTCCTCTCTCCAGACTTCAAGGATACAAAAGTAGGTGTCCATCTGCTCAATGTGGAGGCACTGGGCTGAACTAGAATGGCTAGGAACAAGGGCAGGAGAGATAAGAACCATATGATAATCCTGTAGGTATTTGGGTCTGTGCCATGTTTGAGAGGGATTTCAAAGACCCTAGGATTGCTGCAGAGTGGAGGATACAGGCAGGCAAGGAGGTACAGAAGGAAGCCATGGTGAGGTGAAGGATGGATGACACTGTAGGAAGCACTACAGGCAGTGTGGCCCAGGTAGCACCTACATGGTGACAGACCTGGGTCCATGAGGAGGAACTGCACATTAGTGGTTGTCTGAGCACCATCAGAAACTCTTGGAACTGAGAGACGTGTATTCATGTGTGTGTGGCGGGGAGTGTATGTGCATACACATGCCATGTGTATACATGTGTGTGACAGGGAGTATGTGTGTGTATGCATATGTCATATGTATGCACATGTGTGTGGCGGGGGGTGTATGTGCGTGCATGTATGTATGTGCCACAAAGAGTGTACGTGCATGCACATGTCCCAGAGGAGTGCAAGTGTCTGTGTGGAGAAGCAAGGACAGATCACTAGTGGAATGAGATGCTGGGGAGGCAGCTGGGAAGCCTCAGGCAACATCCCAGGCAGCCGGTCCTGGCACTCACCATCAGTGGCCTGCAGGCTATAGGTGAGGCCCAGGGCCAGGTAGCCTTTAGGCAGGAACTCTCCTGCTTCCTCCCCAAGGCTAATCACCACCATGGCAAAGTGTTCTGCCTCTTCCAGCTGCAAAGAGGAGAGGTAGTGGTCACTGGGGTGGGCTTTGTTGTCCTGAGCAGGGAAGGCAACACAGTTAGCAACCTGGGACACTGTAAGCTGCAAACAGAATAGCTCCTCTTGCTGAACTGTAGACAATGTGACTTATCCAGGCCATGCGACTATGCAGGAGAGCCAGCTGTTTGATCTACCAGGAAATGCCTCCCTGGGCCTGTTACCCATCCAAGGAGCCAGTGCTCAAGGTCACAGGTCCCGGTTCTTCCAGAAAGACAATCCCCAAAGCCTGTTTTACTGAGAGGATGAACTCAAAACAGGCAAGTATCTGTGGCTCCTCCTCATGTAGTTTCTATAGGGCCTGTTCAGCAGACAAGGACCCAGTCCTGGTTCTGGGTCTTGGGAACATGTGCCTTTTTGAACATGGTCAACCTGCAAAGTAGGCAGGCTGCCACACAGGCTAGTCTAGGGCTTGCTCCCTCCCTTCCTGAGCAGGAAGCCAGTGAGCTTGAACATTATGTGTGTGGGGGAAGGCCTTGGGCTGTTTTTGTCCTGGGAACAGGAGACTGTTCCACTTGGAAAAGGCCCAACTGGCACGGGCCACATGGGCACACATAATTACACACAGCATGGGACATAAGAAGGCCTAGGAGGCAGAATTTATGGACAGCCTGTAGCACCACCCATAACAGTATGGCTGGCTAGGGTGTAGAGTGGGGCTAAGACTATGTCTATTCTCATGTGTCGCCACCAACTCTTCCCTAGGTGCCTATGGTAGTTTGAATATGCTTGGCTCATGGAAAGTGGCACTATTAGGAAATATGGCCTTGTTGGAGGAAGTGTGTTTAAAGTTTTCTAATTCTCAAGCTCCGCTCAGTGTGAAAAAAAGACCTTCCTCCTGGCTGCCTTTGGGTCAAGATGTAGAACTCTTGACTCCTCCAGCACAATGTCTGCCTGCATGCTGCTGTGCTTCTCCCCATGATGATGGACTGAACCTCTGAAACTGCAAGCCAGCCCCAATTAAATGCTGTCCTTTGTAAGAGTTGCCTTGGTCATGGTGTCTCTTCACAGCAGTGAAACCCTGAGTAAGACAGTGCTCCCAACCTGCTATGTGCTAAGCATAGCTATATGTCTATGTATCATTCAGAACACTGGCTCCTGGGAACCCAGGGTTGCTTCTTTCAACATCTTCCTCCCACTCACACATACTTCCACACCACCAGACACACAGCCACACCCCAACCACAGGTATTCTATCCAGCCAGAGAATCACAGGCGATCCAGTGGAGGTGAGATTCACGCTTGTGTTGGCTTCTATAAGTGCCCAACCCTACAAATATCCTGACTTAAGGTGATCTCCCCAGCTTAAACAGAGTATCTCTGACTGCTGGCCATGGCTGGGGAGGGTGCACAGGTAAAGTTTCTATCCTTGGATTGCAGTGGAATTTCCCGAGTCAGAGGCTGTTAGCTGCGGAGCAATGAATAGGAAAGTCCCCAGTCTGAACACAGCTATGACGAGCTGTGTGCATAAAAGAAAGCAAACAAAACCCCTAAAACCCTGAAGGGGCATAGTACCCACTGTGCAGGGAATGAGAAATTCCTGAGACTCATGACTGTTCACAGAGCCAACAGTATTTTGAGTTCTGGTGCCACCCACAAGGCAGGCTTTCTGCATGTGGATTCACTGTGGTAATTATAAAGGAAAAGTAGTATTAATTTCAAGTAAGTTAATGTACAATACAATAATTACACATGGTCTTAACGGACGTGGGTACTTTAGCAAATGGGGGGATGCTGTCATAGCGAAATGAAAACTAAATAAAAACAGAACATTTTATTAGGTCCTGTCTCTCTTCGTCTAATGCAGGTGTGGCAATCCGAAAGCTTTAGATTTTGGCCCTGCAACCCTGGCTCTGAAGTACTAGGACCACAACCAGACTCAGAAGCAGCTCCTGATTCTCTAGTCAGCTCCCCTCACAGAGGTGGAGCTGTGTGGTGATGAGGACACAGCACCAGTCACACTGCCTGGCCTCCAGCCCTTTGAGGTTATCCAGTGGGCCTCAGTTCCTGCTTCTATAAACTGGGGACAAGTGTCTCCCTCAGAGGGCTGCTGGGAGAACTGGTGCCATGATACTGTGATGTCTAGTGTGCTTAGACTGTCACGATCCACAGCAGTGACCATATGTACTGTGGCATATATATGGTTCTTGGCTGCTTAACACTATTTCTACCCTTGTTAGCCTCCTCCTGCTGGGGAATTCAGGTCCAGACTCCAGACACTTCCTCTTTGTCTCCAATTTAGGAAGCCAGTGGTCCTCTGGACAGGTACCTGAGGGTTTCCCAGTGTTGTCTCCTGATCCCACTCTGATGCTGTCTCCTAACACTCACCCAGAATAGCCATGGCCACCTAGGGAAGGTCCTCCCTGCCTCTGGGTATCTAAGCAGCCCAAGGCCTGACAGCCATGTCATAGCACCACGGCAGGAGGTTATAAGGCACAGGAAGCTTATGTGATCCCCAGCCCATGGTCAGCAGTTAGCAAATGGCAGAGCTATGTGTGGCTCCAGCCCAACCAAGTCGGACGGGTCCATGGCTGCCCTCTGCACTCTCTCAGGTTCCTTCCCTGACACTTGGGGAAGCAAGGTGCACTGTATGGTGATTTTGCTGTGCTCTTTGTAAGGAGACACTGTGTGCTTTCCCAAGCTTCTCTGTCTCTGAGGGATTCCTAATTTGGTTCCTGCACAGTGGACTTGGAGCTGAGCCAGCACACTTGCTGGGCTCAGGGTTGCCTTCCATCTCCTACGGCCTCCTTCACTGCTTCAGATGCTCCACCGGCTTCCTCTCTTCGCAGGAACTGGAGAGCACTCTTTTCTGAGACTGCAGGCTCTGTTTAAAAACCTCCGGTTTCTCCTGGGTCCCTTCCTATAGGGCCTGGAGCTGCTTTGTGAAAAATCTGCTTTTTTTATTCAGGGAGTAATAGGCACTTTCAAACTTGTACAAGGCAGTGGCAAGAGAGCTGGTGTGCTTCCCTGCTTCATGAATGACCCACCCTCCTGGACTTGGAAAGGAAAGCAAAACCATGTCCTTCCTAAATGCTTACTATTTTGAAGGTGCCATAACGGCACAAGCATTTGTCATGTGCCTGCAATGTGCCATGTAGACACACCGTTTCCTAAGGCTCACAACCACCCGATTAGTGGGCATGCCAGCTCCCACATTATAGATGAGGAAACAGAGGCACACACAGAGAAAATCACTCCCTCAAAGTCACACAGGCTAGTGGGTAGGTAGACTAAAAACTTGAACCTTATCTATTTCCCATAGCCTATGCTCTTTCTGGCACCTGTTCTGCTTACTCGGGACATAGATCCCATGAGAGACACATTACAGACCTTCGCACAGTGGGCTTACCTACATCTTATTTCCAACCTCTTCTGTCTGTGTGGCATACAGTATACACGCATGCCGTCCTCTATATCTCCTAAAGAGGTTCCAACTTTTAAAACTAAATCATTTTTAAATGTCTTTGGAAGGAGCCAAGAAAATGTCAACATCTTCTTTTCTACCTTCTCCCCAAATTTGCCTTGTGGCCAGAAAGCAAGGCAAAGCAAGTGCAGAAGACACTTGGAAACACTGGGCAAAGATCACAGCGAAGAGACGGAGTTCCTGGAGGGCAGGGGCATAGACACTCACTGCATCACCCATTGGTCTCAGAAAAGACCAAATTCTGCCCTGGAGAAGCATTCCACAATTCAATCCATGCCCCAGGTGAGTATAAACCAGACTCTAAGATGGCTCAGCAGTTGAGAGTACTGGCTGTTCTTCTAGAAGATCTATGTTAGATACCTAGCACCCACATGGTGGTTTACAACCATCTGTAACTCCAGTCCTAGAGGACCTGATGCCCTCTTCTGGCCTCTGTGAGGATTGCACAGACATACATGCAGGGGAACAAGCCACATAGAATAAAAACAAAGGAAAACTAACTTTAATAAAAGACGAGGGGGTAGAGGTGTCCAGAGGAAACATTCAGGCCAGGAAGGCTGCCCAGCTCAGCCTCATCCTTACTCCTCTGAAGAGTCTTGCTGACCATCCAACATTCAAACTGTTCTCAGTCCCTGATAACAGCCCGCCTTTCTCCCATTTTCTGATGACAAGTCTCCATGTTTAAGCTTCCTTTTGGGCTTTTCTATTTATGTTGTCATTGATTACTTTGCTCCTAACTCATCTGATTTCAATTTGGACTGATTTGATCCTAATTTTATTACCATGTAATCTGAATGCACATAATCACTGTAATTATGCAGCGGAGGGAAACAGCTCCTCCACGGTGGGAAGACCTAAATTTAGGGCTTCCTGGCAAGGGCGCCATTGGTGGACTCACAGCTCTTTGGCGCTCGCAGCTCAGGGGAGCACATGTGCCCTCCCCAGCCCTGCTCCAAGAGACATGGGTATTTTAGGCTCATCTAAGGAATGAGCCCGAGGTCCCCTCTCAGATGCTCTGGAATAAAAAGTCTGAGCTGGGGGTTGGGTAACTCAGCCCTCTGCATCTTCAGCTCCCAGCACCCTTTGCCCAGGACTCTGCAGCTTGCAGCCCTGCATGCCACCTATAACAAAGTGGGTGCTTGGCTTGGATCCAGAATGCAGAGGAAGGAATGGGGCCTCCTTAGCCTGCTGGAGAGGTCATGTGTATCACAAGATGACAGGTGTGAGGGATGATGAACTCGCTCTGTGTCACTCAGAGTGTAGAAAAGGGACTCACCCTCATACCAGGAAGCTGACTGGGACCCAAGTGAAGATTCTCTGGAGACAGTCACCAGTTAGAGCAGCACTCCCTAGGACCCAGTGTCCTGGGTCTGAGCCCATCAAAGGCCTGGGGTTCAGGATCCCCTCTGTTCTTACTGCTTCAAGCTACTGACCTTTGAGGAACACTTTCATGAGCCCCCAGTAAAGGCCATCAGTTGAGCAGAAATATCCTTTGAGCTATAGTCTCCTCCTAACAGCTGCCTCAGCAGAAGTGGGGAGCAGACAGCAGGACCCAGGAAAGTCTAGGGGTTCAGTAAGGGCAAAGAAGGAGCTGCAAGGAGGCCATCTTTGTTTTTTCTCAGGCTAGGGTTGACTGCAACCCCTCCCCTTCTATATAACTATGAAGTCATCTGCAGCCTCTTTTCTGGTCTACCTCTAGGCTGTAGGCTGGTTTTACCTGCTACTCCACCCTGACTTCTTCCCATCTGTGTGACTCTCTGAAGAACACATTTCAAAGTTGAACTACAGTCAGATACCATCCCAACTGGTGCTATGCTGTCCAGATTAAGGTTAGTGGGCCCTCCTGTCCATACACAAGGGTGGTACCCTTTCTTCTACTGAAAGCACCCCCACATCATTCCCACTTGCTAGAGTCCTCCCCAGGAGGTCATCGAACCTGGGCTCTGCCTGCCATACCCTCACATGGCACTCACCCAATGCAGGGACCCAATGCAGACCTTGGCAGCCATCAGGGGCACTGTGGGGTCCGAGGGCTGCAACTTCATACACTCACGTAGCAGCGACACGGCATAGGCTGACTGCAGAACAAGAGTAGGGAACACAATCACTGGCTACCCTAGGTCTCCATTATCTAGGGTGCCCTATGCCCTTGGCGGTAGTTCTCCCAACAGTCCTTGCTCTGTACCCCAGGAAGAGAGCCCAATGGGAGGAGTCCCCATGATGTTCACTGCAGGTGAGTCCTCTGAGCCTTGTTTCCCTCCATTGGAGAATGGAGACCATGAAGCTCACCCTCTGGTGATGTGACAACACCTAACATGATAACAGACAGAAAGGATTCAGATGAGAAACACAGAGATTTGAAAATAGACAGGGACTCTAACCCTGTCCTTGGAGAAGAGAGTTAGTAACAGAACTAGACAGATGTACAAAGGAAGGTGAGACAGTGGAGGAGGGTGAGGGAGACCCAGACTGGAAGCTGAGGGCCCTCAAGGCTCTAGGGCTCAACCAGGATTTGCTGAGGAGAAGTGGGGAGGGTCAGAAGGGAAGGGTATCCAGGCCTAGACAGGTATGTCAGCCATTCTAATCACTGGATAATACTTTATATTTTATCAAGTGCCAGGCATTTTTCTAAGTCAGGGGCGGCCAAAGGAGCCTACAGGCTGAGTTTAACCCACTGCTTGTTTTTTGTAATAAGGTCTGGTTGACACTGGCAACTGTTAGTACATACTCTGTGCTGCTGCATGACACCACACTGGAGTAGACGGCTGAGTCAGTTTAAACTGTCTATTGACTGACCCTTTTCCGAGAGTTTGCTAACTTCTCCATGAGAGGTTTGGATTTTCACAACATCACCAGATAGGCAGCACTACAACTGAGAGGAGAGCCACACAGTCAAGCAGCTGGTTCAAAGCTACATAGCCCATAAGAGACAAGAAAGGGTTTGAACATAGCCTGGGCTAAACTCTTAAACACTACCCTATGGTGTCTGTGGTGATGACCTTCGCCAGAAGAAGCTGGTGTGTGTGTGTGTGTGTGTGTGTGTGTGTGTGTGTGTACACACGCATGTCCAGTTCAATAGTCTGGAACCTGGAACCTTATGCTTTCTGAATCCAACATATTCTGAAGGAAAGAATAGTGACTCTCCTGCCAGGTAAACTTCTAACCTGTGACCCTCAGGTACATGTGTATGACTACAGCAATTATCACATCTTGGGTTCTACTGTGGACTGAGCTCCTTTAACTTAGTCCTCTTCTTCCCTGGGAACTCTGGGGGTTGCAACTAAGGAAAGGAGGGTTCTGGCAGGCTCATCTGCCTGCAGTAGGATGACTGGAATGTGTTTCCCCCGCCCCCGGGTTACCTCTCTGTTCCCCACCATCTATGGAAGAACTTTCTTATACCGGGTGTTACAGATTTCCTGGGGCTCTGACTGAGCTATGGTTTGCATACATTCTGAGTGTGTTCTCCAAGAATGCATGTGCTGGAGGCTTCATTCTCAGAGTGGTTAGTCCCAAGTCGTAGAACTAAGAAGAGATGGGTTCCACTGGGAGATGCTTAACAGTCTTTGTGTGTGCTCTAAAAGAACTGGATATTGTTCTCATAGTTCTTGCAAGGGACTAGTATAAAATGAACAAGACTTTCAAGTACTTCCCCATCTAGCTTCCTGTCTTGCTGTACAATCTCTCCCATTTGTTTCCACTCTTGTTATGACATCTGCCTTGTGGTGGTCAATGCTGATACCCTGTCCTTGTGCTCCAAAACTATTGAGGCAAATAAGCTTCTTTTCACTATAAATCCTTCAGTCTCAGTTGTTTTATTATAAGGAAGCAGGGCATTGAGACCAACTGTAGGTATGCTCATCCTGGGCCTACCCTGAGCTCAGTACTGGGCTGGGGTGATGGAGTTAGATGAGGAAGACAGACGAGCCGTCCAGGAGATCACAGAAAGCGGGGTAGCAGGGAAGAAGACAAATGCCCAAAATCCCCCATCTTTCTAAGATAGAACAAGCACAAAGCCAGGACCAGAAAACAACAGGCGTAACGGGAGTTCTCAGTGTAGACTGAGGCAAGGAAGGCCCAGCTCCTTGGAGATGCTCTCACTAAGTCCCTCACCACAGTCCTTCCATCTACACACCCCAGAAAGCCTCAGGCTTCTCCTCAGCTTCTTACCTTTGCATCCTGGAAACACAGGACTCTCTAGTCCTGACCTCTACAGTCTACCCACTGCTTCCCACCCCACCCCATCCCTTCTCACCCCACCCCCACACAGACTGAAAAGCACTGCTATTTAAAGAGCCATCTGAGGACCCAGAAGTAGGAGCAGCAGGCTTCTTTTTTCCCCCTGTCATGCTGGTTACCTAGCAACCACAGCCAATGCAACTGCTGCATGGAGACTGAGAGAGAGAATGACCTAAATCATGCCACAGAACTCATCTGTTATTCCTGTGGGATGAAACACCAGGCATATTTATATCTGCCCAGCCGCACCTTCTGGAAGGTATAGAACCTGGATCCTACCTTAGGCTCAGTAAAGGCAAGCTCTGGCCACTCACTCCTCTGAGGTCTTCTAGGATAGTCAGGTAAATGGTTTTGGCACGTAAGATTTCCAGGGGGGTTGTAGAACACCTTCTAGAACAATCTCCCAGTGCACTGGGTGCATGGGTGGATGGAGACCAATGTCTGCAGCCTGTGTAGTCTCAGATATGAGGAATTACTAACCACTCCAACTCCCTAGGCCCACCTTGCTGGATCATGGAGGAGCCAGAGTAGGGAATGGCTTCCCAGAGGCGGAGTCTGGACCACTTTGGGTCCAGCTTCCCTATAAGGAAGTGAAAGACCCCATATTTATGGTTCCTTTTCCTGAGGCTGGGGCCTCCATGAACTAATTGAAGCTAACTTCCATGAATAGTTTTTTGTTCTTTTGTTTTGTTTTGTTTGTTTTTGAAGAGGGTAGCTTTAAAAAAATCCACAACCCAAAAATCCACTACGAGCAGTGCATGGCTCTAGACTGTATATCTCAGGCATGGCTCTAGGCTGATTCTCATCTCTACTATTCTAAGGCTAAAGGTTTTCCCTGTTTGGGGGCGGCAGGAAGATGCTGTTGTGTGCGCAGGATCTATATAAGGTCTAGTCACAGCTACCCAGCCGACTGTGGACTGTTACTTACTCCCTAGGTAGGCTGGTGCCTTCAAGTCCTACATACCTCCCCCTGTTCATCGTTTGGCCCCTCCTCCTTGGTTCACTCTCCCCTCTGCCTGGAACTTGCCCCCACACTACCACCACAACCTCTCCTTTTATCTCATGCTGCTTGCTCCTTGGGAGTGTCTCCTTTAATCCTGCAGGGCCAGACCTGTCTGTATATGGAATTCTCCTTGGGTTCTGACAACACCCTGCTGGGCTGAGCCAGTTGGTCATGCTGTGACTTTGAGATGCTCTGGGAGGTGGGTCCTGTGATGGAGAAGGGCAGGGAAGAGTGAGGCCCTGCAGAGGATGCCCAAGGAGCCTCCCCGCTGACTTCGGATATGCAGACAGTCGGACAAGCCTGCAGCGCCTAGTCCTCCACCCCTTCCCTGCCAGGCCCTGGCCTATCTTATTGCAGAGACCCAGGGCTGGCTGGCACCCCTCCATCTGCAGAGGCGGTACTGGCACATTGGGAGGGCCTCCTTGGAGAGGCTGTGGGGCTAGAAATGGAATGTGGCACAGATGGGCAGGGGGCGAGGGATTCCCTCAGCCCCACAAAAGGGCCTTGGGTATTTACAGCTCTTGGAACAGTCTGCAAGCTCAGACCACCTTGTTTCCTGCATTCATAGCATCCTCAGACACATCTCCCTCAGCCCCCAGCTCCGGAAAGGTTTTCCTTTCATGTCGCTGCTTAAAATAGAGGGTTACATAAGTGTAGTTCTGATCTGAGCAAAAATCAGGGATGCTGGAGCAGGAGCTGAGCAGATGAAGGGGGAATGCCTACCCCAGTGCCGCAGGCTCTGGGCAGAGCTGGCCTCTTCTGTTGTCTCCACCCAGATACCTCTTGCTACATTCATCAGCAGCTATCTCTCCTAGGCATGTTCCCAACTCACAACTATTTGGGGAGGAAGTGTTCCCCTCTCCTAGAGCCAACAGCAGAAGTGTTGCAACACTCTGGTGGACCACAGGAAGAAACATCCATACTCATACCTATCCATGGGCACACTCACCACCACAAGCACGTGAACACAGAGCCTTCCCTTCCACATCCACCTCAGAAAGTCATCCCAATACTGGGTCACAGTTCCCAATCAACACTAACTTTTCCAGCACCAAACTCTGAGAAACCATTGCTCTCCTCCTCCAGAAGGGACCAGAGTGGCGTTTAATCCTCACCCCCACAGCCCTGTGCCTTACCTTCCCACAAGCCACCATGGAGAGGGCCACTTGGTACCAAAGGTGAAATTCTCCAAATGCACACTTCATGGCTCGCTCTAAGCACTGGGGAGGAAGAGGTGGTCAGCACTGCCACACCAGCTGCCCGCTTGCCCAGGTCATCCCAGTCCCTCACAGGGTAACTATGGCCCGAGTCACTGCCTTCAGAGAGCCTTCAGAGGCAGCCTGGGAACACAGGGACAATCCAGTCTCGGCCACACATACACTGTGATGCTGCAGAATGGTTGTCTTGCCCTCTGTAGACCTCTGTCCCCACCTCCGTAATACATGAATGGTTTCAGATGGCCATTTTGATGAGCAAATGAAATAAGGCTTATGAAAAATAACTAGTGTTTATTGTCATGGGGCATGGTAGGGCTCTCTGCCTTTTACATGTATCAACTCATTCCTTCTTCCTAATCACCCTAAGGTAAGGTCTCTAATTACCCCTACTGCACAGATGATGAATCTGTGAACGAGGCTAGGGTGACTGACTTGGAGGTCACAGGGCTAGTGAGAGGCAGGCCAGCCTGAGAGGAAAGTGCAAGTGGGGAAGGACCAATGGTCACCTCGTGTGATTCCCTCTGTGAATTACTAAACTCTCAGGAAGTGAGGTAGCTTGAGTTGACTGACCTTACCTCAGAAAGCATGACATACTGGCCTCGCCGGCCCAGTGTGATGCTCAGGAGGTCGTAAATGGCTGAAGCATTCTGCAGGCTTACTTTCCGGTCCTCCGCCTGCTCTGGTGCCCGACTCAGTACCACGTCCCGAGTTGCCTGTGGGTGAAATGTAGTTTGGAAAAGATGGTGAGGGTAAAAAATCAGATGGCCCTCACAGGGGCCCATTCTGCTAACCTCATACGCTGTCACATTTTCCTGCTGCCACAGGCCCGGAAACTGAACACACCCTTGGAAACAGCCTCCCCTGTCTCTGCAAAGCTCTCTCCAAAGACAGAAAACCCTTGGTCCAGGCAGGGGAGAGGTCAACCTAAGGCTCAAGGTCCTAGTGTTCATTTCAGAACTCTACAAGATTTCAAACCTACAGAAGCTGCAAAGGCAGTGCTGCAGCCATGTGCCTTTCATGGGAATGCACCTGTCAGCGGTTGGTGTTCAGCATGCCATTTTGTTTCACACGTGATATCATCATCAGGTCCTCCCTCATTCATGTTCACTCTAAGAGTAGCTAACCAGTCATGACAGTTGTGGGGCCCTCAGCAGCATCAGGGCAGGGACATCTGGGGTCTGAAGTGACTCTCATACATTCCCATGGCTGTGCTTGGCAAAGCTGAGATCTGACCCCACACTCTAGCTGATACCTCCCAGTATCCTCTTCTTCAGGTGCTTTGCCTTCCCTGTCTGCATCTACTTTGGTTCCCAGAGGCTGTTGTGTCAGCCAAGGACTGGCCTGACAGACAGAACGAAGGAGCTTGGCCCTGAAACCTGAGCATCCCAGAAGATCCAAGGCCCCATCCTTACTCTCACTGTTTGCTCCCACACAGAGCCACCTTCCCTCCAGTAAGCAAGGGGATGAAGCTCCTAGGTTATCTGTATTCCTCCTCCTCAAGAAACACAGATGTCCAGGGAGAGGATGCCTGGGAGAAAGTACCAGGAATGGTAGGAAATCCTCAGAGAGATCACTGCTAGAGCCAGTCTGTTAAACCTAGCCAGGAACTGCAAACAGTTAAGGAAGGGAAAGTGCCAAGAAATCCTCTCCCTCCCGGTGAAACCCACCCACACAGCAATGTGGGAACACAACCTGTGCTCCATCCCTGGCAAGGTTCCTCCCCACTCCTCCACCTCCAGCAGCTCTTAGCTCCAGGCACCCAGTGGGGACTTCAGGTGATGGGCTCCTCCAGGCAGTCATTGGGAGGGCAGGAGGGGAAGAAGAACAGAGATCCAGGAGGGATGCATCTGCACATGGGTGCTGGAGTCTAGTAGGAAGAAATCAGGATGGAAGGGATAGGCCAAGTGTTCTGTAATGGTGGCATCTCTGAGGTGGAGGGACACACTGGGCACGTTCAAGGACTGGGGAATCCACTGTGCACTGAAGCCATGTTTGGAGCATAGTTCAGAGTACGCTGTCACCACTGTCCTCAGAATGACATTTAAATGCCTTTCTCTCTCTGCTCCTCCCTACACGACTTCTCTCCAGCCACAAAGTACTCACTACTCTTTCCTGTCTTTGAGGCTCAACTGAGTTTGTCACTGTGCATTTCTCTGTGTCAGTCCACTGGCAACTGCCAGCTCAGACGAGTGCTTTCCTACAGCCCGCCCACCTCTCTGCATCCCTGGGCCTCACATACCAGGACCCTGGCAGCCCCAGCCAGCTCATCACTGTTTGACAGGGCATGTCATTTCTAGGCTGAGCTGTTAAACACAAAACTTCATAAATCCACCTTTGTGGAGCAAGCAATGCCCCAGGAAGACTACTGTGGGCTGACATAGAAACTCCTTTGTCTACACTAGAACCTGCTCTAAGAGGACAGGCCTCTGGGTTGTCAGGTGTGTGCGTTAGGGGGTAGATTTCCAGAACTGAGTGTGATTGGGTCAGATGAAACAGGACCTGACCCCTCAACAGGCTGACAACCGTGCCAGCATGCTCTTAGGGGTCCTTGGAGCTTTTGTGCAGGAGGGGTCATGGTTACCACAGGACAGCTGTAAGCAGACATCTGTCCAGATGCTACCATGGCTTTGGGAGCAGGATTAAAAAACCTACAACATGCTAGGCTAGTGCTGGTTGCTGGGCAGTGCCTGTGTATGTAACCATGGTAACAGGGTTGGGTGGGGAAACTGGATGAGAAAAAAGGGAAGTCTGGGCCTGTGGGCCACAAAGGAGCTTGAATTCATGTGTGACTTGAGCCAGAACAAGCCTCAGAGGCAGGGGGCACCACAACTAGGCTCACAATCCTTCCCCAGGAGCGCCCCAGCTTTCCCCATCCCTTTTCCTTGGGCTCACTGACTCTAGGCCACATAGGCTCACAGGCTTCACAAGTAGCATGTCCAGAGGTAGCCCACTCTTTCCCTTTCCTGAGTCCTGGTTTCACTGAGAAGACTTCAGACACAGTGAAGATTTTCAGACTGAAGGCAGTGAGCAATGTGAACACGCTTGTTAGTGTAAATACATAGCTACTGCACTGTCTTCTCTCCCATCATCCACTGTGCTGTTCTTGGGATAACGGTGACAATTCTCCCTGGGTTTTCCCTGCCTACCCTGTCTACTATGCACTGCTGTGTCTCCCACACCCAGCCTTTGGCTCCTGCTGTGGGATGCTCTGCCCTTATTAGGGCGAGCATTTGGTCCTTAGGCAGGACCCCAGCGGTGTCCCTATTCCTCACCCCTTTCTCTCTGGTGGTTTTGCCAGGATAACCTCTTGCAGACGAGAGCTTTCAGATGGCCAGAAGCCTGGCCACATCCCTGTTATGTGCCAGCTCTACACCAGCAGGGCCCACCACTGCTTGTCAGACAAATGCCCTGAGACAAACACAGGGAAGCTCACTTCCTCAGGCAGGCACAATGCTTGCTGAGGTCCCTCTAGGTGTAGGCCTCAAATTAGCCTCTCAGAAAGGGGGTGCTCATCCCCATCAATTTATCAGGCTCATGAACCCCAACAGCAGTGGGACAAAGAAAACCTTCCCAGAGGTGGGCTGAGAGCCTGAAGATGAACATTAAGTGCCAGTCTAGGCCCCGATGCTTTCCTTTCCAAGTTGATTGTCCTTGCAGTTCCCAATCTCTACTGGATGCAGCTCAGCTGGCCCTGACCTTCACCTTTGCTCAGCTCTGTCCTCCTCTTAATCCTGGACCCAGACAGGGTTTCCATCTAAGTGGGGGAAGTGGAAGACTCCCTAAGTGGCACCTGATCACTCCCACAGCCCTCTTGTCTATTCTCATCCCATTTTATAGATGACCAAGGAAGGCTAAGGGAGGCCGAGTAAACTGACCAACACACACCAAGGGCAGAGAGCTAGCTGACACGCTGACATTCTGATTTCACCCCAGCCTCTTCCCTGATTCCAGGTTCCTCTCGGAAAGTTCCCAGCAGTCTTGACTGACAGTATTGGAGGCCTTGGACTGGCTTTGCTGAAGAAGAAACCAAAGCAAAATGCAGACAGGGTATCCCCAGTAAAGTCTTAGGTGCTGTCTCCCTGCCAGGAATGGGTTCCTGAAGTAAGATGCCAAAGCCCTACTCAGAGGCTTCACTGAGACAGCCTTTCCATCAAGTGAGCCCCAGGACCTGCTACTGGCATCCCAACAGTCACCGGGAAAGAAGCGTCTGGGAAGCATTTGTACCCAAGGATTCTCCCCCTTCCTAGAGGACATGTCATGTGGTTATGTTCGGCTCCTGCTGGTGTCCCCCACTGGCAGACATAATTACCACCAGCTCTTGGGTTGCAGTCCACAGAGCCAAGAGCTAGCGTGCTCTGTGACAGGTTTCATCCACCCAGTGACAGTTCCTGTGGCAGATGTCACAGTCTTCCTGTCACAGGTACTAAACCATGGGCTCTGAGCTGGCAGCCTTCTACAGAGCAAGGCCTTACCTGCCTTTGAGCAAACCAGGTGCCAAAAGCTGGGACACAGTGTGTGTCATCTGCTGAGTACCAAGTGGAACCTTGCTCAGGAAGCCCCTTTCTTTAAAACAACACACTAATACATTCAGTCTTCACCTAGATTAGAGCTTACATGTAACTAAGTCAGAATCAAGGTTTCTCCCACCCCAGGATGAAAACACACACTGAACAACCCAAAGAGATAGCTCTGTGCTTGCTTTCTTAATCTACCCAAACTCCTTCCATGGAGGTTTTATTAACTCCATCTCACAGATGAGAAACAGGTTCAGGGAGGGAAGAATCTTGCTTAGTTCTGGACAACAAATACAGGATCCTCACAGCCAGGCACCTGGCACCAGCACAACACAGAGCTGGTTTGATAAGGCTCAGGTGCCTGTCCCTGGAGCCTCCCCCAACCTCCCACACTTGTTCCATATCAGGCCTCTGTACCTTCCAGATCTGAGAGGCCACACCAGAAATGAATTCTTCCCCAGCTCAACAAAAATAGTAGCAAAGATTCAACTAACTTTAACCCTCACTGCACGAGGTGGGAACACACTGGGGATAAGGATTTGAAAGTGTTCTTTATTTTATACATGGTGCTGAGCATGGTCCAGCACAATAGAGTTGCTCAAAAAGATTAAGAGATGGTTAATGCTGAGCATGTGAATAAACCATGGGTGAGTGGACAGACAGGTGGGTGGGCAAATAGATGCATGCGTGCGTAGACAGTGGCTGGCGGGTAACTGGTAGATGTGTACATCTGAGTGAGTGGAATCTGAAATGCTCTAAGAGCCATAAAGACACAGAACAGGGTCCAACGCACAAATCTCCAAGCAGTCATAAGTCAAATCCCTTATGTTACTGGGAAAACACTGTGATTTCTATTTATCTCTTTGAAGACACATTCCCTCATCTTATCACACAGGTTAGCTGCCGGCACCAGACATGCACCTAGATCCTAGACAACCATAAAAATGGGGCTACAACACTTAAAAGAAAACCCCACAAACATCCTCTGCCAGGTGGGGCTCTGGTCATCTTGGATGTGAGGAGCAACGGTGACAGTAGCTGTATCTGCACTGCAGGAGTGGCTTTTACCACAGTCAGTCAGAGATGCTGCACTCCCAGCCGAGGCTGCCAGCTGCTGCTCTAGAGGGTTTTCCACAAGCCTGTCCTCTACAACCAAGACTAGCCAGCAGCAAAAAGGTGACGAAAATCCCTCAGGCACACAGAGGCCACACTGAAAGTTCACAGAGCCTTAGGAACAAGGCATGACACAACCCACAGTTCACTCTCTGGCCAATCAGCAATGCAGCTGCAGGAGTCGGCAAGATGGCTCAGTGGGTAAAGGGGGATGATGGAGTTGGATCCTCAGGACCCACGTACCGAGAGACCTGGCTTCCACAACTTATCCTCTGAGCTCTGAAATCACACTATGATGTGTACATGCTCACATACACAAACCTCAGATATAATAAATTAATAAAAAGAATGTGCTAGGCATGATGGTACATGCTTTCAACTCCAGCATGCAGAAGGCATAGGCAGGTGGGTCTCTGTGAGTTCAAGGCCCACCTGGTCTACTTAGTAAGTACCAAGCCAGCTAAAGCTACATAGCAAGACCTTGCCTCAAAACAGAACAAAATGAAAAGAACCTAAGTGGAAGGAAGGAGGGTTTAAGGAAAGCCAGGTGGATCTCTGGTTAACTGCTCTGAGCCTCTGAGGACTGTGTGTAGTGGATCCGGGTGGATCTCTGGTTAACTGCTCTGAGCCTGTGAGGACTGTGTGTAGTGAAGGGAGAAAGCCTTCTATAGATGGGACTGTAAGGTTGTCTACTGCTGACTCTCCTCCTACTGTCCCTCATTTCCAAATGTCTGCTGGGCTGGTATGGGCCAAAGCAAAAAAAACAGCCAACACAAGGAGGTACCTCCTTCTAGCAACTGTGCAAACCAAACCATACAGCTTCTCTATCAGGGCTGTACTTGGCTACCAGAGTGTAGTCTTGCAACTCCTGGAAAGGTCAGGCTGCTTGGAGAAAGGTTTATATTCAGGGAAACTCACCAGTGCCATGTATGGGCCACATTCTAGTAAGTCTCTGCTTTCAGACTTTGGGCAGCTTAGGGTATCTGGCTCAGTGGTGTCAATAACTTTGCAGGAGAGTCACCTGAGCTCTGGTCCTGGGCTCTGACCAAGATATACAACCATTCTTCGTCCCTTCTCTTATTCCCTCATCTGTAAAATGGGGACATAATAGTATTAATCTGAGCTACATGAAACTACTGACATAACTTTCTCCTTCCTTCTGTTTTTGGAGACAGGTTCTCAGATAGTTCAGGTCTGTCCCAAACTTCCCTTTACCTGAGAATGACCTTGATTTTCTGATCCTCCTGCCTTTCGTGAACCCACTATCTGAGTGCCAAATTACTGGCATAAATCAGGTTTAAAGTCATTTGTGCATGTTAACAAGTACTTTACCAACAGAAGGGCATCTCAATCCTGAAAATTGTTTTTGTAAGCCAAAAATAATTGAAAATAGGTAATTTCATATGATTCAACATCATGTCTACCTAGTGAAGTAGCCACCTTTGTCCCTAGCATAGAAAGGGTCTTGCATTTCCCTTTATTACCCAAAGCACTCGGTTACACTTCATCCCTTGGCACACAAGGGTGACATGTGCCCACCTCTCTAGATACAGGTAATCTCAGTGTAGACTCATAGAAGGGTACAGGTGGTGCCGTGGCTGGGTGGAGTAAACTCCGATAGTTCTACTTCAAGATTCTAAAATTTAAGCTGGGCAGTGGTGGCACACACCTTTAATCCCAGCACTAGCGAGGCAGAGGCAGTATCTCTAAGAGTTCAAGGCCAGAGTTCTAGTACAGCAAGGGCTACACAGAGAAAACCTCTCAGGAAAAAAAAAAAAAACAAAAAACAATCTAAAATTTAAAAGTGAGATTTACTTTGTAATCAGAGAAAGAAATCATTTCCAGTTCCCCCCAAAATAAATCCAATACTTGGTACTTGTCTCCAAATCTGGCTAAGCCACTAGGTGTCCCTCCCCTTGAAGCAACAACAAGCACAGACCCAGGATGCCTATCATGCTTGGTCAGCTGGTACTCAGCAGTGTTCAGATCTAGAATGGCCTGGCCTGGCTAAGGAAGGGCAATCTCCCTGCCTTGCAGTCCGGTATCCCTCCACATATGTACTTATCAGAAGACCTGTGCAGCCAGAGGTGACCCAACCATGCGTCCTGAACAAGCCCTGGCATCATCCATACTGACAGTGCAGACTGCTGACTTGTCATAATCAGATTTTGTAATTCCAGAAGAGGGGTTCACATGCACTCAGTCCCTACCCACCTAGAGAGAGATCTAGGTCTCTCAGCATAGCCCAGCAGAGTTAGTGCGTGCGTGTGTGTGTGTGTGTGTGTGTGTGTGTGTGTGTGTGTATGTGTAAGAAGCAAGAAGAAGCTCATACCTTCTGGGCATCCCTGGGAGGCAGAGCTTGACTAGGCCATGCATAGCCTCTGCCTATCCCAGCACGCTCCATAACCTCAACCCACTGGGGTCAGTGGTGCCTGGGGCTTACCATGGACTCACTGATGAGCAGCAGCAAGAGGGCCTCCTCTATGTTGTCTTTTGGGCAGTAGAGGCTGGAAAACACAACAGCATCCCTGGCTGCAGCCCAGCCCACCCCAACAGCACCTCTGGCCCCCAAGCAGTCCTCCTGCCCCGAGTCAACATCAGCCTGGTAAAGTGACCCTTTCCTGCATAATTCACAGACACCGAATACCAAGTGCAGCTCCTAATAAGCCCCAGAGTTCTGAACCTGAAAGGCTGCTGCTATCTTGCAGGAGAAATGGCTCATCCATCCATCCATCCCTTGCTGGAGGCATGAGGAGAAAACAAGAGACCCTGCCGATGACTAGACTCCATCTTCAACTGGCACTCAGGAAGACAGGTAACCTCCAAATGTGTGGCTTCAGGGAGCCATGAAGAATTCTCCCCCACCCCCACCAGAGACCATCTTTCTGTAGTCTCTAACATGTCTGCCTGGTCCTATGCAGGCTAGAAGCTGGGAAAACAGGCACAGTGACGGGCCACCAGCAGGGAACAGAGCTGTAAACATTGTGAGACCAGCGTGCTACAGGGCAGGTGGTACTTACTTTTCTCCTTCGTAGAGGTGAGGTTTCCGAAGGGTCTGAGTGACGAAAGAATTTTCCTCCTTTCTCATGAACTCAGGCAAAGGGTGGGAGAGGGGGCTCCAGTAACAGTCCTCACTCAGGGAGTGCAGCAGGACCCCTGCCAGGTGCTTGGCTGCCACCTGGCAGAGAGGGAGAGATTCAGGCTGGGCTCAGACTTCTTCAGTTTGCCTGCATGGCCCTCTGTTGCCCACTGTGTGCTGTGCTGGACCTCTGGAGGCCCCACAACTTGAACCCTAAATTCCGCACTGCTTCCCTGTAGCACAGAAGCCTCCACCTCTCCCAGGATGGCCTTGCTCCATTCCATTAATTTCCTCTTCTCTCCTCTCCTCCTTCTGGTTCTATCAACTGAGGACTCTGCAGTCCCTTCTACAGGTAGGAGAAGGTGGGAGGCCACAGGTACAGGAGCTTCCCTACTAGATTCTGTCTAGAGACTGACAGTTGACCCAAACTTCTTATGAGAATAATAAAAACAGCCATGGCTCTGATTTTGGAGGAACAAAAGTCTAAGAACACAGACCTGAGTTGGACACAAAAGGAAGAGCTGATGGTATTTATTAGGACTATAAAGAAGTGCTGGAGAGATGGCTCAGAGGTTAAGAGCACTGTTTGCTCTTCCAGACAGAGGTCCTGATTCCCACCAACCATGAGGTGGCTCATAATGAGTTCTGATGCCCTCTTCTGGCAAGCAGGTATACATGCAGATAGAGTCCTCATATACATTAAATAAAATTTAAAAGATGAAAAAAAACCCCATAAAAAATTAGCAATACCACAGCTCATAAGGATAGTTTTGCTCATACAAGGGATGATGGTAGATTTCAATTCTCATCTAATGCTAGAAATCATTCAATTCAGTGCCCTGATGAAGATGAGATGAAGAGAATGCCTCCCAGGCTTGGTGAGAAAGTATTCTGGGATCAATTAACAATGTCTACTAAGAGCAGAAGATGGTGGGCACAGGTATGCATGTGACACATTTCGGTCAAGGGGCCTCCTGGTAGGGCTTCTGTTGTCTCCCACCCAAATTAACCTCTGCATAAACCAGCCGCAGCCAACAGCCACATTACCACTTTGAAATTCTGCGTTGCTTTAGTCTCCACGGTCCTCAGAATCTGCCGGAGCTCCCTCATGCCTTTCACGATGTTCCTGGGGGAGGACAGCAAAAAGTGGGACCACTGCTAGCCGAGCTCCATGAGTCTAACAAGAACTTGCTAGACATGAAAATTCAGGAGCTGGGAAGATGGTTCAGTGGTTAAGAACACTTATTGTTCTCACAGAGGACTCAGGTTCAGTTCTCAGCACCCACAGTTGGTTCACAATCATCCATAACTCCAGTTCCATGCTATCTGACTCCCTCTTCTGGTAAATATGTATTATACATACATGCAGGCAAAAAAAAAAAAAAATCTAAAGAAATCTTAAAAAAAGAAGAAATGCAAGTTCTATGCCCCTACCCCTCAACAAAATTCAGGAGCCATTACCAAAGAGGAGACAGAAAGATTCGTAAGAGCCAGAGGCCAGGGAGGACCAGACCAAAGCAGTATTCTCTAGAGATGACAGGACTTCTGTATTCATGATCTTATAGCAGCTGTGGTCACATGGACAAGATGAAGCCTGCCCACACTCTAGCATGGATGGGGGAGAAGCCTCCACCCCTAACTGAGGAGTTATTGACAGGTAATGGTTTCTGGAGAAGGGAGAGTCGGTTTTCTGTAAGGGTGTGGCTACAGGTTTGACCAGTGGATGCCAGTAGATGGTCCCACACTCAGTATATACTCAATACAAACTAGATGTAGTGGATTATAAGAGAAAGAAAAAAAGGGTGTGAGGTGGGGAGCGGGTTAGGGAGGAAGGTGGATGTTGCATCCACAGGCTGAGGCAGGCTGGTCCCTAGGGCTGCCTAGAGCTCTGTGGCTCCGAGGAGGTATGCTACTTCTGGCCTGTGGGTGATTTTCCACTCTGCGGGAGACCTGGCAGCCTCTTCCTCGGCAGCCTGGGTCAGGCTGCTACCAGAAGGCCGGAGCCAAGAGTGCCTAATGGCTCTTATTCCCCAGCCACAGGAGGGACTGTCCTCTCTGTCACTGCCAAAGAGGCTTCACATCCTAAGACCAGCAGACAGGCTGCTCCCAGATGTTGGGGAAGGGACGCTGAAGTCCAGACACTGACCACTCCCAGGACACATAGAAGGACTGAGTGCTGCATTCAAACACAATCCTGTATCCCAGAGGTTTTTGCTTGCTTTTTAAATAATTTTCAGATCTGCAAGAGATTTTGGCATCTGAATAGGCTCCTGGGAATTCTTTTGCACAGTAAATCATCACCCTCAGACAAGTTTTGAGTAAATCCAAATTTATATTGACTGCTTTTAAAGAAACAATTCATACAAGAGGTTCCAGTGGCCAGGGCCACACAAGAGATTTGGGATCCTGGCCTGGGTTGCCTGGCTCTCCCGTGTTGAGAATGTCCCCTGCCTCAGCTTGCCCCTGTAAGAAATGTCTAAGCGGGGGTTCTCAAAGGGCCCAGATGGCCTCAGCCTGAGCAAGCCTAGCCAAACCTGCAGCCGCCTGTGCCGGGGGTTTTCCCGTCCTTTTTTGGCTGCCCTCTGAGAAACCAGCTTGAAAGATCTCTTTGTTCTGGTCTCTCCTGCTGACCTTTGTGAGCCAAGCTGCCTACTTTTAACAGTATCCAAACAGAGCCTCAAACAAACTCTGGCCCAGAAACAGGATATATGGGGAGAAGCCAAGAATCCGGTTATTCCAACTAAAGTCAAGTCCAACTGGCCCAGAGGTGGGGTGGCGGGGTATTAGCAGTTCAGCTAATAGAGGACTCTAGGAGGAAGGTGGGACACAGTAGGATAGCAACCCCCCACCCCTGCAGCCAGCAATGCAGCATGTTTTCCAGAGCCCTTGACAGTTTTCAGCCTTCAAAATTTCTCACAAGTCTCCATCACCCCAGTACAAGCAGAACTCAAGATGTGCTCAATGCTCTTAAGAAATTACTATTGTGATCTGGTGGTAGTGGCTCACACCTCTAATCCCCACACTCTGGAGGCAGAGACAAGTAGATCCTTGAGTTCAAGGCCAGCCTGGTCTGCAGAGTGAGTTTCAGGACAGCCAGGGCTACATACACCCTCTCTTCCTCCCTCCCTCC